TTACCAATTCCTTGAGACAAGCTCACAAAGCTCACTGAAGAAAAAATAGATAATAGACCTATATCTATTAAAGAAATGGGATCTATAGTTTAAAAGCCTCCCCACAAGGAAAAACACCAGGCTCAGATGGCATTCACTGGTGAATTCTATCAAGCATTTAATGAAAAAAGAAAAAAAAAATCCTAACAATTCTACACCAACTCTTCCAGGAAAATGCAGAAGAAATACTTCCCAATTCATTCTATGATTTCTTTCTTCTGAGTGACACAAATGGCCTTTTGAGGACAGTATGGCACCAGCGAGGCACCAACAGCCCTTGGTGGGGCAGGGATGTCTAATGCCCTCCAGTATGTGGGAAATGCTCTGAATCAGCAACCAATCTATGGGTCATTTCTTCTACAGCAGGACTCACTCATCTGGAATTAAAGGGTGAGAATAAGAGTGGCTGCTGTCACCCATCTTTACAACTCTGGGTTGTATGGGTTTACAAGTTTTTATTCCCAAAGGAGATGCCCTGCCGCCAGGGGACACGCTGATTCCATTAGCCTGGATGTTGAGATTGCCACCTGACCACGTTGGGCTCCTCATGCCAGTGAACCAAAATGCAGAGGCTGGGGAGTTATTTACTGGCCAGGGTCATTGGTCCTGACCATCAGAGAGAAGTAATGAGGGAAGTATAACTGGAATACAGAGAATCCTCTGAGAAAAAACAACAATCCCATTCAAGCAGGACTACTCGTGACATTAACCCTTTAGTAATGGGGTCATAGAGGTTGGGGTCACTCCACTGGGCAAGATATTATGACCAACTTAGGTTCTTGCTGAGGGCTAAAGGAATATGGAATGATTAATGGAAGAAAAAAATACAGCTATGACCATGTGGCCAAATATAAAAACAAGGAATGGCTGCATATTAGACAGAAGCATAATTTTGCTTTTCTCTTTATTTAAAAAGTTAAACATGATTAAGAGGTGTGCATAGCCCGGCCGGCGTGGCTCAGTGGTTGAGCATCGCCCTATGAACCAGGAGTTCATGGTTCAATTCCCGGTCAGGGCACATGCCCAGGTTGTGGGCTTGCTCCCAGTGTGAGGCCTGCAGGAGGCAGCTGATCAATGACTCTCTATCATTGATATTTTTATCTTTCTCTCCCTCTCCCTTCCTCTCTGGAATCAATAAAATTATATTTAAAAAAAAGAGGTGTATAGATGCTGAGTAGATAAAGGATTGACTATAGTGGTTTTGTACTTTGCCAACTTGGCTAACAAAGCTTGAACTAAGTTTCCCCTAACCCCTTCCCTGGTCTGGGTTGGTTGGCCAAAAGGAGAAATTCTGCCCAATATCTGGAAAGTGAAAAGGGAACCAACTGCTATTTTGTTGAAGTTACTGTGGTTAGAGATACCTTGAATTTATATTAGTTTACACAAACACTCCATCCATGCTTTTGTTCCGGCCCTCCGGTCCAGTTTAAGAACCCATTGTGGCCCTCGAGTCAAAAAGTTTGCCCACCCCTGCCCTAACCCCTTCCCTGGCCTGGGTTGGTTGGCCAAAAGGAGAAATTCTGCCCAAGATCTGGAAAGTGAAAAGGGAACCAGCTGCTATTTTGTTGAAGTTACTGTGGTTAGAGGTGGTAAGAGACATCATTAAGGGCCTGGCTTGTCCTCTCTCTCCCCTGCCCCATGTCCAGCACATCCGACTAATAGAGACCAGTGTAGAGCCAACAGCCTCATGCTTCATCTACTCCCCTTTGGTGTGGTCCCACTCCATCAGGAAGATTTGAAATTCTGACCAACTCCATGGCAAGCATGGATTTGTCTACCCCTAACAGTGCTTCGGAAGAGGTAGCTGGTGATATTTTTCTGATTCTCCACCTCTCAGGTTTAGACTCTTACTCATCCAGCTTTCCCCACAATTAAGATTTAGTCCTATAATAAATCCCTTAATTCCCCAATATTTATAGTGATTCTGTTTCCCAGACTAAAACCTGACCAATAAACCATGTTTTCCAGACAATACTTTCTGCCCCTGTGGACATCTTCTGTTTGGATACTATAGCTCGCCTCCTTCCTTCAAGTCAGAAAAGAGAACTTTTGGGAGAGAAGTTATAATCACAATTTCTGCTTATGAGGAGCTCATTTTTATTGTTGTAGGTCTGTGCCATCTAGCCATGGAAATGAGTGATCATGCTTGTCTCTATGACCATGGAGAGGCTATGATGAAGAAAAAAAAATACTAACTAAAAAATGACATGTTGGCCCTGGCCGGGTAGCTCAGTTGGTTGGAGTGCTGTTCCATACACCACAAAGGTGGCAGGTTCAATTCTCAGTCAGGCATATACAGGAGGCAACTGATCGATGTTTCTCTCTCTTCCTCCCTCTCTAAACTCAAAACTATATATATATATATATCTTGGATGAGGATTTAAAAAGTTAATATAATTAAATTACATTAAAAATAAAGGTAATAAATACTCTAAAGTCACCGAGTTCCTAATTATTTCACTGCATTTTATTATTAATCTATGTTCTTGAGGTCATATTTTTTTTCTTTATTGTATCCATAGGTGGAAATTACAGTTGCATGCTACCACATTTCTTCCTAATTCTACATTCAATGATGTCATGTTAATAGCTTGAAATTAGCCGTTAGCAGTATTTACACCACAGAAATAGGCAAACTCTACAAATCAGGATTTCATAGATTAAGAAAAGTTTCAGGAAAATGGTGATCGAAAAGAATGCAAGGGGAGTTCGAAAGATAGTTAAATACACAAGGTTTGAGTAGAACAATGCTCATAGAGACATTGATACAAAACAGGCAGGAAAGGTAGACTGGAACAAGACTAAAACAGTGAGAAACAGCAGGCTGTAAAATGAATGGGACTTACAGCGAAGGCCTTTCTAAGACAATGGGGAGCTACTGAAGGTGTGAGGCAATAGTGTATAGGATGCAGGGAAGGTAATGAAACACTTTATTTTTGAAAACTGTGAAGCAGACCCTAAAAAAATTATATTACATATAATAAACAAGTCTTGAGTAAGGCATTAAAAATCCATTATAACTCAAAGCTCCAAAGAATACATACTCTGTGATTCCATTTATATAAAATGCAAACCCATCTATACTGACGAAAAGCAAATCCATAGTTCCCAAGTGCTAGGGGAGAGACGAACTACAAAGGGGCACAGGGATCTTGTATGTGATAGAAATGCTCTATTATCTTGATTGTGATGGGTGTATGTAGCTATAGGAACTTATCAAATAATACACTTAAATGGATGGAGTTTATTGTACTCAAGCATTCCTCTATGAACTTAAGGGGAAAAAACACAGTTACAGTTTAAATATATTAACCAGACATTTCATATGTATTTAGGTGTGAATGAAGAAGTTATGCAACGACAGCAATTTTAGAGAAGCAAAAACCAAACTCATAGTTTCCTCTTTTCATGTGATGAGCTCCGTATCTATAAACACTATCAATTCTTTCCCCCAGAAGTTATGTACAGGCCAAACCTCATTTCATTATTTTCCCTCACCCCGTTCCCACACTATCCAACTCCTCCCATTTCCTCCTCACCACCACTGGGAGGGTGTTCATTTTCTTAATCTCAGTAATGGGAAGAACATTACCTACCTCAAATGCACATATAACACTTTACACATAGCAAAATAGCCTTAACTATTTTCTACACATTTATGCTCATGGAAGGCAGAGTCTGTCTTATGTATCTCTGCATTTCTCTCACTGTATTTAGCAGAAGGTACAATAAACAGGAGCCCCCCAAATAAGTATTTCTTCAGAGAAATGTCTGTAGTACCCAGAAATTCAGATATGGATGGGAAAGGCAACACCATACAACATCAGGGAGAATCTGAAGAGTTACCTTCAAGACATAAATGTTCTGTGCAATTTGAAAAGAATGATCAGTTATGACTGAAGGAATTAAGAAGCATGTCTAAGAGAAGGTGACACTGAGCTGGCTAAAATCTGAAGGGGACTAAGGGGGGGTGGGGTGGGGTTTGCATATCTACTTCCCTAACCGGTATTTGTAAACACTGCAAAATGCAAGTCCAAGAGGAAAATCTTTAATAGTGACACCAGGATAATTCTTAATAGTCAAATACTGTAAAAAAGGCAAGCAGACGAGGCTCTAGAGACAGGCACTTGATGCAGAAGATGAAAAGGAGCAACTTTTCCTAACGACTGCACAATCCCAACAGCATTCCCAATACCCTTTGACATACGATCTAGATAAATTCTAGAAGCTCAAGAAGGAGTAAGATTTAAGGACAAAATCAGGAGATCTAAATATCAAGATGCCTGTGCCACTAACACTGGGCGTTATGGGATACCCGAGGATCCGGAGGGCTGCCACCTTCATGCTAAACGGACTCTCGAGGTCAAGTATAGTGACTGTTCCGACTCCAAGTCAGACGTGGTCCAAGGAAAAGGCAGTGCAGGCCACTGGGGCCAACAGTCCTAGGAGGGCTGTGACCTGCTGAAAGCAGCAAAGCGGCGTTTGTGGGGCCGACAACCGCCTTCCCGAGCACCCCGGATGCAGGGAGCTGCTCAATCTAGCCTCCGGGTTGCATGGGAGTCGCTGCGATGGGAGGAACCCCGAGTTTGCCGCCTGGCGAAGTCTAAAATAATGAGCAACCCCAACTCCCACTCACAAAGCGCGCTCGGGTTTCCATTCGCTCCTCAGCCTCCCTGGGAGGAATGGCAGGTGAAGACCAGCTTCCCGCGCCACCCCCAGCAGGCCCCGGATTAACTAGGGGCTAATAATAATAATAATGATAATGATAATAATGGGGGGGGCGGACCAAGCGACCTCTGGCCTCAGACTCCACAAAGAGATGGTCCAGGCGTCAGCCCGGCTCAGGGGCTCAGGGGCTCAGGGGCTCAGGGGCCCAGGGGCCCGCAGGACCCGCAGGACCCGCAGTGGCAGCGCCCAAGGGACAAGAGGAGCCCGGGGAAACAGCGGGCGGCCAAACTCACCTGCCGCTTGTTCATCCGCCGCACATCGTCCAAAAAATCTAGAGACAGCATGGTGGGGCCGGTGAGGACGACACCGGCAGAAGAGAGGGCGCGATGTGACCGGCGGGCGGAACGACCGACGCCGGGCTGAGCTCG